AAATGATGAATAATTTAGTTAATTGAATTTGTAATTTTTTAATAAATTTCGTGAAATTTGAATTTTTTGCCGCAGTATCAATTTTTTTTGCCAAATTTTTTGCCGTAGTACCAATTTTTTTGCTGAATTTTTTGCCGCAGTATCAATTTTTTTTGCCACAATATTGCTGGATTTTGTGCTGAATTTTTTTTTTCGCAGTATGCCAATATTTTTTTTGCCGATTTTTTGCCAATATTTTTAATGCTGAGTGGCAGCAATCATAAATAATTTGTCAATATTTTTATTATTAAATTTTGCCAAATTCGGCAATAATTCGGCAGCCGAATGACATAATTTCGACTAGTGATAAATACTTCAACACAACCTTAGATCCAAAGAACAACTAAGCTTTTATTTGGATGAATCATTTAATAATAATGAAAAAAAAAATAAAGATAGGAGTAGCTTAGATCCAGATAAAAAAAGATGAAAAAAAAACAAGTTTTAAATAGAAATAAATAATTGATTTTTTTTTATAAGAGTCAAATTGATAGTAATTATAACAATATTTCTGATAGTCCTAATTAAAAGCATAGTTAAGATTTATACAGATAGTCAAGTCTATATTTTCAAGTGAAAATTTTTAGAAAAAGAAAACTCAAGGAGAATATATAAGATATTACTTAAACAAAAAAATTGATCTTTCTAGATATATATGAGAAAATCAATAAAAAAGAAAAATATTGACCTAAAACTTATAAAAGTTAAGATATACTTAAATGATTCTTACAATAAAAAATAGATATTTTAGCAAAGAAAACTTTAAAATTTCCTTTAATTAAATAGAAAGATTTTATCTCACACAAAATTATTACTGAAATTAAGTAACAAGAGTAAACTCTAGATGATTTAATTAGGCAGTTTATTAATTAATAATAAAACTATAATTTATCAGTGGGCATAGCAAAACAGAATAAAGAAAAAATAAAGTTATCATATTTTAGAACACTAAATTTATATATAGATTTAGTATAGGAAAGAATCAAAGATGGATATATATGAAATACATTTTTTAAATAATTCTAATAAAGAAGTTTTTTCATTAAATTAGTTAATAATAAGTTATTTATCTTAAGTAAGTTAATTGTAAAAAGATCAGATTTATACTAGCAAGTAAAATATATTATATATAGCCAACAAGAAGAAATTATAGAATACTTGTTAGAATATTTAGTCTATAAGAATCAGCTACAAAAGATATGAAATAAAGAAATAGCTAAAATTATTAGAAACTTAAAGAGCTTCTATAGAAAAGAAAGAGAGAGATAGAAGAGACAAATATTAGATTGATTATTGATGACCAAAAAAAAACAAAGGAGTTTAATAAGTGAATCTCTAAAATAATGGAAGAAACTTTTAAAATTAGTTAAAATACTTTAAGTTTTTATATCAGTTTTATAAGAAATAGTCTCATTCTAGAAATAATAGATATAAAATATCAAGGTAAATATATGGAAATAATAGAAAGAAAACAGATAATAAAGATACAAAAAAGAGTTTGTAAACAAGTCTGAAAAAAAATCTGAAACAAGAGATATAAAAAGATAATCGAATGAGAATAAATACAAAGAATTGATAAAAAAATCAAGACAAAAAGATCTTCTTGTCCTTCAAGTCAAAAAACTATACTTTTAGAGAAAAAAACTGTTATCTAAAGAAGAGATCTTAAAAGACAAAAGTTTTTAAAAAATTCTAAAAAAAAGAGTGGAGTTTAGAATCTCAAATTAATTTACAGTTGTAATTAGTAAGTAATAAAGTTAACAATTGAAAGAATTTTTATCTGAATTGCTATAAAATAATAAATCATTTCTGAAGTTACACTTAGAGTTTTAATAAATTTTTAAAATAGAGATAAATAAGTTAAATAGAAACTTGATTTTAATTAATATAATTTCCAATATAAAATTTATATATGTTTAATAAAGTATATACAATACTGTATATCTAACATAATAGAAAGAAAAAAAAATTAATAAAATAAATAAATATAGGTTTAAATCTTAAAACTTTTTTATTTTTATTTATTTTTTATAGTTATTTATTTTTTAAATTTTTAAAAAAATTTTTTTATTTTAATTTAATCTTAAGTTTTTAAGTAATATAGATTTTATTAAAAATAATATACTATATATACTGTATATATATCTTTTTTTGTATTTTTTTTATTAAAAAATAACTTTCTATTTTTTAAAAGTTTTTTTCTCAAGACCTTTACTTTGTTTTCTATTAAACCACATATTTAATTTTTTAATTTATTAGATTAACTTATAAAAATATATATTATAATAATAATATTATTTAATTTAAAAAAGAAGAATAATAAAATTATTTTTTTATTTATTATTATTTAATTCATAATAAATTTATTTTTTTATTTTTATTCAATTTTTAAAATTATTTCAAAAATTATAAATAATTTATTTCTTAAAAAATTAATATAAATAATTATATTTTATTGGCTCTATAGTTTCAACAAAAAAAGTTATATGCTTTATTTTAAATCTAATTTAAATCTATATTAACAAATTTTTAAATTTGATTTTCTTAGCTTAAAACAATATAATTTGATGTTTGTTTAAAAAAAGAATTTCTTAAATAAAATTTATTTATAAAACTATAAATAATAATAACAAAGATTGAAATTTCTTTTAAAATTTAAGGTAAAAAATATTAAAACACTATACTGTTGATAATTAATTCTTGAAAATTTATTTATTAATAGTATAGTTTTTATATATAGTATAATATAATATATAACTAAAATATAGTTCAAATTAATAATTAATTTAATAATGTTATCAATAAATAAGTATTAACTATTTGATCTCTACTTATACTTTTTTTATTACTAATAATATATAATAGAATTTACAATATACTACTATTGATTTTTATATAATAGTTAATATAATATCCATATACTTTGTATTAATAAAAAATATATATTTAACACTTGTTTATGGTCATAAAAATTTTTATTTATTTTTTTAATTTTAAATCAATTATTTGAAATAAAATTATTAAATATTTTTAAATCAGATTATAACATTATTTGTCAAATCATAGTAAAAAATAAAAAGGGCAACTGATCTTGTTTCAAACTGTATGCACGGTATTATCTTTAAATAATTAATTGTAATAAGTAACTAGTAACAATTTCAATAGTTAATAATTATTATTGAATTGATAAAGAAATAAAATGTTATTTCCAATAATTAATTAAACATTTGATTAACAATTCAGCAAATTCAGTATTATACTATAAATAAGATAAGTTTGCTTGTTAATTTATTATTATTCAAATCATTCTTATTTGTTGACGTTAACCTACTATTGGCAAAAATTATTTTTAAGCCACAATTTAAGAGAAAGCACATAGGCACAGGATATAATAATAAGGAATGATAATTTTTATTATCACGATATCTTATAACTTGATAGTAAAAATTCGAATATACTGTAAACCAGGGATTTTTTTTTTAAAAAAAACCTAAACTTTCGTTGGTTTATTGATTTTTTTATTAATCGTATTTTTGCCACCTGAAATTTTTTTCTAAAATAACGACAAAAAGAAATTTTTTTAGAACTATAATGCTCAAAAATGCCCAAAAGAAATATCGCACAAAATGGTCACTCGTGAGATTTCCCATGCTTGACTATTTTTAGTAATGGGTTAATATATTAACTTATTCGCACTTTCCCTATTTAGCATGGACGATATGTACCAAATAAGAGAACTTCTTCTAGACGTCCTAGAAAACCATATCCGACGTTTTTCAAAATTAAGCAGTTTCACAAACTCTTTTTAATGCATGCATATACAAAAGTTTCATAAAGATATCGGATGTCGCGCGCAGTAAAATAACAGCGAACCAATCGAACAAAGTTCGGATTCTTGGCGGCATTAACTCTCGAAGGGTTAGATGACTATCGAGCAAAGTTCAGACCACTTGGCGGTATTAACTCTCGAAGGGTTAAATGACTATCTAATAATAATTTTCATCGGCGATAAGCATTAGTGGAACGTATTATTCGGTGGCGTAAATATAACACGCGAAGCGACCATGCAAGGGATTTATGGATCTTAGATTCGTGAACCAATATATGACATATGTCGGTTAATAATATATATGACATAGACCTTATTATGAGGAATCTTGGCATCTATTTGAACCAAAATCACAAATCATTCGATTTTTTTTTTTTTTCGTGTTGGGACCTCGTAAGTAATTGGTACCCGAACCTCAAAGAACTGCAAATATTCGAGAATTTGAACGAAAGAAATTACTGCTCGTAAACTAGACACTCGAGTATGAAGAATGAATGCGACTGTTAGAATATTTAAATACATCCATTATAAACATATTAAAGATGAAACTTATATATACAGTATATTAATAAGAAAGACGGTCAATGTAATCACCGCTACTAACCTTATTTACACGCTATAATATCGGTCATTATTACTTGAAGATGATTTCAATCCGATATGCGTGTTATTTTGTGAAGGTCCCTCGTATGATGGCAAACACCACCTCGATAATTTTTAGATAAATAGCGCCATGCAATGAACTTCCTCAACTGAAATTTTTTGATGCACCACATTCTTTTAACCTTTACAATCCTTTAATTTATTACTCGACCATCCTTCTGGTAAAGATTGTTACCTGGAAATAGTTCCGAGTGGTTTTCCCCGAGACCTCAACAAAATGAAAATTTCAATTTTCTCAGCGATTGCAGCCGTAATGGCTTCATTAGCAGGAGTGTCGTCAATATCGATAAGAGGAGGCCCGCTGGAAGGTGGGGACGGTTTGCATAATAAATTTTTACCCTAAAGTTTGAAGAAAGAATACCAATTGCTTTCATTGTTACCCTTTTTAGTCAGAAAAGTCAGCCCCTTCGTGGTTAACGGGTAAGTTAAGGGGAAATATACCGTTATGTAAAATCATACCAAACTCTTACAATGGGTGTTTGTAATTTAGCAACACTGGGATTGCGGCCATGCACGTCGTTGTAACGGAACCAACCAAACTAATAATCATCGATAAAGGTATTGTGACACGTGATGTTGATTTGTAAGTCATCGATAACTAACTAACTGGATGTTTCAAAATAGCTCAAGATGAGCCTGTCAGATATCCCAGCGGAAAGGCAGTGATCTCATTGGAGTACGAAATCACCGATGGCACAACGAGATTCTTAGAACTAAACACGAACACTTTCTGTTCGGCCGGAGGATTCTTGGGTTGGTGGACTTTTGCTCTTGCATTCAATTGCTGAGACAATCAACTAATGTTTCATGTGAATTGCATAATAAACAAACAGCCGATGGAACGTTGGTTAATACTGGCGGTGCTGAATTGGTAAGTTGGGGAATAAAATGTTCGTTTGTTGTTTGCACCAAAAACACGTAAAATAAGTTTGCCTTTTCATTGCTTTCAGAGTGGCAAATATAACGAGGGGTTCCAAAGTCTACGCACCATTAAGCCGTGTCAAGACGGAAAATGCCAATGGACCGAAGATCCCAAAGGTTTGACCTCACATAGATGGTACCCATCAGCCGTGTCGTAAGTAGTGAGCCTTAAATTCGGAAAACTTTTGATCTGCCGCAACACAGCAGGGTAACTTTCGACTTAAATGATTGCAGATTATCGGATGGAAGATTGTTCATTCTTGGTGGATCAAATCAATCTACCGCTATCAATAGTGAGACTATCAATAATCCCACTTATGAATTTTACCCGAAGACCGACCCAAACCCAGTTCATTTCCAATTCTTGGTCGATACGTAAGCACCACTTAAATATTACGAAGTAATTGCTTTCTTTGGTTGAGCATGACATGACTCGACTTTAAATCAAATCACACCTCATCCAATTTTACTTCTGCCAACAATAGCCTTCCATTTAACCTCTACCCGTCAATTCACCTGATGCCAGGACCGGCCAATCAAACTCAGCTCTTTATCTTCGCCAACCGAGATAGCATAATCTGGGACTGGAAAACAAACACCATCGTGAAAAAATTGCCGCAAATTCCCGGCGCTCCACGGAGTTACCCATTAACCGGCACATCTGTTATGTTACCTTTAGACCCCGATGACAACTACAGACCCCAAGTGATTATATGCGGTGGTAATGAGAAACGTGATCGCACGAATCTGGCTGATGATTCTTGCGGTAGAATTGATTTGTCGAATTTGGATAAGGCCGCCTGGGAAATGGATAATTTTGGTGGGTTTGGTAGGGTGATGCCTGATGGTGTGATTCTGGCCGACGGTAAAACCTTGTTCTTAAACGGTGCTGGACGCGGGATTGCTGGTTATAGTGAGTAAATAAATACTTTGAACATCCTTTTTTTTTTTTTCGACAGTTTCGCCTCACCTCTACCACCTTTTAGACTCCAAAGATAAAAAGACCGGTGTTGTGACGCAACAGGCGGACCAACCTGTCCTCACACCAGTCCTCTATGACTTCCGAAAACCATTGGGACAAAGATTCTCGACGCAGGGCGCTTCCGAAATTCCAAGATTATATCATTCTGTGGCAACTCTCATTCCGGATGGTCGCGTATTTGTAAGTGATTTTTACTTTCTGCTTCTGGTCACGCAAGAGTGACGCGTCACAAAAGTCTTTTTTATTTTTTTCAGGTTGCCGGAAGCAGTCCACAGGCAAATGTTGTAACAAATAATACCGAATTTCCTACCGAGTACGTATTACAATTTTTAAATTTAAATCAAGTCTTTCTCTCGCCCGCATCCTGCCCCTTACTAATAGCACCATTCATTCTTTTGACAGATTTCGCGTGGAATATTTTAGTCCTTCTTATGTCTCGCAAACCAAATCGCCTCGCCCTACCATAACAAGTGTGGCCGGACAAACGAATCTTAACAAAGGCGCCGTACGCGTGTCGTACAATTCAAAGGTGTCGGTGACCGTGAAACTTAATGTGCCAAGCGGAGTATTCACAGCCGCACTGATGCACTACGGGTTCGTGACTCATTCAACTCACATGTCTCAGAGATATGTCATATGCAAAGTCGAAAATGTCAAAGCCACGAGTGGCGGTTTTACGATGGATGTCTTGATGCCTCCGAATCCCAATATTATCGCTCCTGGCGTAAACTATTTGTCTATTAATAATCGCGGGATACCTGCTATTAGCGCCATTCAAGTTCTTATTTCCTGAAGAAATCGGTCTACCCGATGATCTATCCTTGGAAGATTATTTTTTTCCACATTCCTAGAATGAAATGAAGATGCTTGGATGTTTTTGAAACCATGCATCTGAAAAGTGAATTACGCGAACCCCCAATTAAACCCCAAACGACTCTTTTAGAACCGGGCATTTCGTACTTAATTATATCAATAGAAATTTCATAAACAATACAACAGTAATATAATAATAGTAACACAAATCTAATTATTGCTATAACCATACACGTTTACACGATAAATAAAGTTTGTTTTTTTTATTGAAAGGATGTTATTAAATTATTAATAGTTGTATTTAAGAAAATTTGTCATTTTGGCGCTCTCTTGTCTATAAGATGCAATGATTCTATTGTGTTATGTAAATAATAGCTCGTATGTCAAATATCGATTCGAACAAAATGAAGCTATATTGTTTGTTAGTAAATGAAAAAATTAATTAAATATAAAATGTACAATACGAAAAAATATCCTAGGAATTTCTGGACATGGATGACGTGTTGCATAAAAAAATACGGAGCCAAATTTTTAAATGTCGTCAAGTTCTCTTGTCACGAGAATTTATTTCCAGGCGACTGACCGAGGCGACTAGATATCCTAATTTAAACTAAAGTTGAAACCTCTCATCATTTTTGGAAATGAAGGAGGTAAACGTGTGTATCAAACACTTTTGTTGGTTGGTTTTTTTTTTTTTTTTTTTTTTTACAATTTTACGATCAAGATTCTTTAAGGGATTATAATATATAGACAAACGAGATCGTTTCAACCAACTTAATTTATCCTGCATTCCCATTCCCTTCATTTCCTTCCAGTGAACCGACATCCGCTGATAATGCAGGCGTGTTCACATCACTCGCTTCATTTCCATCCTCCTTCGACGCCGTGTCATCACCGTCGTTGTTTGATTTTTTGACACTTCTCGACTTCTTGGCCGCTCGCTGGCCTGTCGTCGTTGATTCTTTGTTCTTTCGTCCTCTTTTCAAGGTGGACGTGGCAATGACAGTTGACATACCGCCAGGCCCCGCACTTGAACTACCAGCAGCATTGTTCGCCTCGTTTGCGTTGCTACCACTATCCTCCGGCAGCTTTGGTTCATAGAATAAGAATCTGTTGCCCAAAGTTGCCCTGGTCACCGATTGGTGCGATTTCAATTTGTCTTCACCCGTACCCTTTCTGCTTCTCGTTCTCTTACCATTGGAATGAAGGTCTTGCGATTCTCCCGACTCGGAGTCTTGTTGAGGTGTCGTTACTTCCTGTGGTGGTTGTGCGATTTGTTCGTGGTCGTTTTGTGACGAGGGTTTCGACACTTTCCCCTTATCCTTCCTCCGGCCGCGTTGATGTTGTGTCAATGACTTGTGGTCCTCGGTCTGTTCATTTGACAAATGTTGTATCGCTTGCATCGACGGAAGGCCTTCGCGGACTCTTTGTCGGGATGAAACTTGAACAGGTGTGTTACGATCGTTCTCCATTTGTTGTTGAGCAAAGTCTTGTGTCTGAAGCTGGAATACATTAATCGAGGGGATCTGTTTCGAGATAGGATAATTATTTTTCCAATTTCGCACCGATACAGGATAAAAATCTTGAGTAGGTGTTCATTTTTCAAAATGCCCATGAAATATAAATCACATCGGATTAGCTTACTTTAGGATTTAACGCGCCGGCATGATCTTGATGCATACCTTGATCTCCAATTAACTCCACAATTTGTTCGGCCGATGGTTGCTGCTCCTGGAATGGCGTCGAAATTGAATGGTTGGCTAATGGAGGGAACATTGATAGCGGGGGCGCATGAGTTGCAGATGCACCTTTGATATTAATTCTTTGCAATATTTGTTGATATGCATGAAGGCCCCTTAAGAAATCTTGATGCAGAGAATCGTCTTGGGCTATGGAGGGATTATACTGTGGATGTTGTACATTTGCATTTGAGTTCTTAACAGCTGTGGGAGTGGTGGGATTCGAGTTCCTTACGTTATTAGGCTTAGCAAATGAATATTCCGTGGGGAGCCTCGGTGTTATGGATGGGGATATAGTCGGTGAGCCTTTTTCTTGTTCCAATAATCTCGACAAGTTCCTTGCCAACGGACTGACACCGGCCACAGCATAACCTGTTGGAGAAGCCTGAATCAAGTTTTTACCCGACCTTCTAGATGCCAAGTCAACATCCAACTCGGTTGCTTCAACATATAACTCGCTGTTGTCGGCATGAAGGAAGAATCCGGAGACGAAGAATTGGGTGTAAGCGTCCCAGCTTGTTGCTATGTTATCGAATCGATCATTGTCAGTCTGATATCCTATTCGAAACCTTGTGTCACAAGACCTTCGCGAAAAATTGCAATCGATCGTAGACTTTGTGCGTACAAATTGACTGTTGTCGACCTGTCTCAGTGATCCGGGAATGGGCTGGGTGACGAAGCTTAAATATGGCGAAGAAAGCGGTATCTCTTCGGCCTCCCAACATCCGGAAGGGGGTTTTGGATATGGTGTGGCAACGGATACATTGATCTATAAAAGTTGAGTAGTTTTTTTTTTTTTTTTTTTTTGATTTTTTCACATTCGAGATTACGTGTCTATCAGTCAATATGTCATAATCACAAAAGGTAAAAGAGATCGTGTCAACACAACACACTACCGTAAATCCTTCTACTTTATCTACAGTTTCATAAGAAAATTTCCCCACCAAATTGACCACATCACCCTCGGAGAAAGGCTGATAATACTTTGTTAACTTTGCACTAGGAAAAATTTTAAATCGAAATGTTCCAAATTGGTTCTCTTCGCATCTATATCTACCTATCCCAAAATCTATACCATTTTGTTTGGACTTCTGGTCTATCAGGGCAACAACGTGCATTGTGGAAGACATGATTAAAATCAATTTCGATTTGATCAGGGTGTTGTCGAAGTTATTAGAGAAGAATAGTGGAGGAAAAGGAAATTAATTGGTTCTCGGAATAAAAAGAAAAAAAAAAAAAAAGAACAAGAATGTTTTGTCGGTAACGAAAATTCTTTATTCTGAATAAAGTACCAGAACACGATATTTCAATGGAGTTTCAGTACCGAAATGATCTAATATCAGTTTCCAGAAATGGAAAACGAATAGGGGCGATCATAATAATTTGGGAAGAAATCAATCAGAATAAGAAATGAGGAAAATGATCACACACTTTATTTATAACAGAATCAATGTCTCAATGGTTAAAAATTTGATACCTCACTCAGAGATTTCCTATTCCGATTTTTTTTCTCAATGATTTCGGAAAACAAAGGAATACTAATAAAGGGGATCAAAATATAAATAAGTATGCAAGGTGAGTAGTGCGACCTGAAAAATCGAGTAAATATCGGAAAGTGAGGACCAAAATTGGGAAAAAGCGGAAAGTGGAAAGAAATTTTGGTAAGGCTCAAAGGTGTGAATGTCATTTTGTATGTGAATAAGGAAATTATGAATAAAGGATCATCATAGAAATTTGAAACGAAAATGAGTTATTTATTTCATATGTACGTCATCATCTATCAGCCATTAAAAATTGTCAAATGTGAGACATAAAAGGAAGACTTTTTTTTTTTTTTTTTTTTTTTACCGACGTCCTGAAGAGAGAATTTCCTATAATTATTCGAATAAAAATCTATACGAGGAAATTCAATATTTTTCACCGCCATTTTGAGTAATTGTGAAAAGAAGAAAACGTTTTTTTTCTCTCGAGAAAATCCAAGTGCAACCATTGCTGCAAAGAAAACTATAAAATCTGACTAATGATGTTACACCAACATCAGTACCGATACGCCCATAACGTAATTGATTAATGAACTCTCCCCTTCCTCCTAAAACTGGATTCATGACAACAAGTTTACACTATCAATGAGAAAATGTACTTAACAGTGAACACTATATGTATGCACGCACGTACGTATTCCGGCGCGGTGATATTTTAATAGTCACGACTGACTCTTCTATCTCGGCTATTGTTTCGCAACAGCTATGCCATCTGAAAATCAAGCATATATATTATATAACTCTGACCACGGAGAGAAACTAGAAAAAAAAAATGAGCTTCCAAATCAGGAAGCCAAAAAGAAATTCAACAGAGTAGGATCGATTAAATAATGCCCATATTTTAAAATTAAATATTTGTTGTATTTTCCCAAAAAAACCCAAATGGCGCGCGTTGATATGGCGGATTTTTATAATGATTTTTTCAAAACGAGTAAAATGAAATCCAAATTCAGTGTTGGCACGGAATCGTCACATCCGTTTGCCTAGCCAAAATCCATATTTATATTATTTCTGACCGGACGAACAGATTGATTGTTCGAATACGGTTTTATTGGGTCGATCCAGTATACACAATCGACAGATGAATAAGACAATCTTAATAAGTTATGAAAGACAAGAATATTCTGCAATGTTTTCTTCGATCATGGAGTTGCAATAAAAAGAAAAAAAAAAGGTTTTCTCTTCATATTGAAGATTCTTATGACCTACAGTATGCTCAAAGCTTGTGGGGCAAAAGATTAACGATCTAATATCGCAAAATAATTAATATATTAATAGGTTTAACAAATAAATCAGCAGGTTGATTACTTGCTATATTTGTTTATACTTTAACATTTATTATCTTCGATGCATGAGCGATGAGCGTGCATCCAATATTAAAATAAAATCAATAATTTATTTATTTTATTTTATTTTTTAATAATTTAATTAAATCAAAAATCGTAAAATAATAAATATACTGTATATTTTAATAAATTTAATAGACATAGACATTTATTTTTTTTTAATTATCATTGATTTACAATAATAATTTAACAAAAGATGTTAAATTATTTTAGCAAATGAATGCTATTTTTATTTTATATATTTTTGAATACCATTATTATTATTTTTTTACTTGTTTTTAAGTATATAAAATTTTTATAATATATTAATAGCAATAGTAATGGTAATTTTAATATACTACATAACAATAAAAAATTAATTCATAATTATTTTATTTTATTTTTTTTTTTACCCGCAATCATGCCACAATGGCATATCTTTATTAAAAAATTAAAAATGAATTTACAATATTTTACAGACTTTCACAAAGTGACTAACTTGTCTTCATACAAAAGTACTCTAAGTCAGATTTTGGGGACAATATTTTATTCCCCTAATAGATTGGTAATAATCTCTATCTACCAGGATCATTATCAACAGTTTGTCACTGTTGATTGCCCGAAAACCAATGAATTGCTAAGTTAAAAGGGGAAAGGGGAAAAATGATTTGAAAAAGGGAACAATTCAAGGCCCACCAAAAAATCCAAAAATAAAAACAACCTCTTCTCAAAAGGGATCTACCTGATTGGGATAGCCTTTTTGTTTCACTTAAACCTCAGAAGAAATCTTCTTTTTCATTACCTGCGGCATCGAACAAGTCAATCCAACTGGTCTTTCATTTAAATGAGTACCGGATTGGGATATCTTAAGGAAAGTATTTAAACCTCAACTTTTTTCCATTAAAGTTTTGTCACCACTTAAGAAACTTAGGTAAAAGACGGGAGTTTGCAATCCACATTATCCATCACTTGATCTTTTGATGTCATGGAAGTTTTTATTGAGGGGTTTGAGCTTTTTGAGGGCAACCATTTCCAGAACCTTCTTTCTGATCACCAATGACATCATCGGAACACGTGATTGTGACCAATAGAAGCTTGTTTACATTCCAAAAACTAACGTGTTTGTATCAGCCAATTACCTTTAGTGAGGATTTGTGCTACCAAAAATTCAGAATCAAACTATGGTAGGCAAAATTCCCTAGAAAACCATGAAAGTGATAGCTCTAAAAGACCCAACAGTGACTGGAAGGGGAAAAATAAGTCCTTCTGTCATCAAAAACCTCTATATACCTCTCGCTTCAAAGGTTA